CCCTCTCCCCTCTCCCACCCTCTCTTCTCCCCTCTCCCGCCTCCTTTCCCCAATCTCACCAGAATTTCATTCCCTCCCCTCCAGTTATGTTAAATAAAGAGAATTTGTGTTCGTGAAAATACGTGTATTTTATTTGACATCAGGAAGGGGGGTTAGGGAGGGGTAAGTGGAAGGACGTGAGGGAGGAATGAGGCACATGCCCGCAGTGGGGCAGACCAGGGAGGCTCTGAGTGCTCCTCAAGGAAGAAGCTCCTCAGGGTGGAAGCTCTCCCGCAAGGTCTTCTGGATACTGACAGCCCCGATGGACCTCCTGGATGACAGCCTGCAGAAAGTGCAGCCAGGCTCACAGCAACACCTCATGGAGGTAGGCAAGCAAGCAGGGAAAGCTGAGAACCGGCTGTCCAGGGGGGTCTCTTTAAGCACAGACCTCAGATTGCCTCAGGCAGCAGCCACACAAAGTAACTCCTGACCTGATGCCCTGCCAGACCTGGTTCTGGCCGGCCTTAAATGTGATTCAGCATCCACTCAGTGTGGACGCGCTATTTTGAAATGCATTTTGTGTGTAGATGCGTTATTTCAAAATAAGCTATTTCGAAATAACTATTTCAAAATTAGATATTTCGAAATAACGCTGTAGTGTAGACAAACCCATACAGACCCAAGCCTTGTTTATACTGCTTTATACACTACATGCTGAAATGTACATTCAATGTTCAGTTCATTTTTTTAATAATTATATGTTAAAAACGACAAAGTCAGCAATTGTAACAGGAGCTGGGACACTTGTATTTTTATGTCTGATGTTTGTAAGCAAGTGGTTTTTAAGTGAGGTGAAACTTGGGGAAGGCGAGACATATCAGACTCCTGACAGTTCACTAATTGGAAACAGGAGATGCATCATCCCATAGTGGCCTATAGCTCAAGCCATTTACCTGGCAAATGAACACTTAAGAGTCAAAGTAAATGTGTTGTATATTTATATACATCAGTGCCAAATCAGATCTACTAGGCAAGGGGGTATTTTGCCACCAAGACGGCAGGGCAGAGAGAAATGTTCTGGGCCAGGTTGGATTTCTAAAACACTCGGCATTGCCTCAGCTCCCATTGCTCTCAGCTGGAATTGGGAGCAGAGTCTGGCTGGTGCTGAGCATTTTTGAACATCCCACCTAATGCAAAACCAATGAAGAAAGCCATTGCCAAACCCAAGAGCCCTTCAGGGACAGCCACCCATGCAGGCGCCCAATACTGGGGCAGAAACACGTCTCTTGAGGTGACGCACAAGGAGAGGTGGGGTCTCCGATTCAGTAGCTCATGTAGGACCCAAACCATGTAGGGCTTTATGGATCAACTACAGCACCTTGAACTGCACCCCCAAGCGAACAGGAAGCCAGTGCAATCTGTGGAGCACTGGGGTACTATGTTCCCTTTGGCCCTCCCCACAAAGCAATCAGGCTGCTCTGTTCTCAGCTCGCCGAGTCACCTGTCTAGTGTGTGAGACTCATCCACTTTGTGGCATCATCCTGCTCCCTTTTCCATTCCAGACTGTGAAAGGAGGCTTTGCAGAGACCAGAATAGAGAAGCGGATCATTATTACGGGAGATGAAGATGTGGATCAAGACCAGGTAGGAGGGAAACCTGCGGGAGGCCATTCTGTATTGGGGGACCTTCAGTGGTGGTTCTTTCCTGCACGCACTTCCTACTCTGCTGTGAAAACTCATCCAGCCACTGCCCCGCTGTCACTGAGAAGGGTCATTCTCTCCAGGGGATGGAAGAGGGGATCAACTGGGGTAGAGGCTCTATATGGGTACAGCAAGCTCTGCACTCACAGCAAAACTTCTCTCTGTGCCCTGAGCAAGTGACGTGAAAGTTAGAACATAAGAATGGCCAGACTGGGTCAGACCAATGGTCCATCTAGCCCAGTATCCTGTCTGCTGACAGTGGCCAATACCAGATGCCCCAGAGGGAGGGATCACAACAGGCAATCCTCACATGATCCAGCACGTATTTACTCTTCCCAGATGTAGCTAACAGCTTGGATTGTGAATGCAGCGTAGCCACTGGGGATGCAGAGGTGTGATTAAGAAGAGATTCTAACCACAAAAGGACAGAGTGGATTGAACACATAAGCCAAGCACAATACAAAAGAAATTCAAACAAGAGAACATCCACACTGCCACCACAGGTGCAAATGGTACCTGTACTAGCTGTAGGCTATCTAGGTCACTGAATAGAACTAGATAAATTAATAGAGGTTAGGTCCATCAGTGACTATTAGCCGGGATAGGCAGGGATGGTGTCCCTAGCCTCTGTTTGTCAGAATCTAGGAATGGGTGACAAAGGAGGGATCGCTTGATGATTCCTTGTTCGGTTCATTCCC